ATTGATTAATTGAACTAGGGGATATCTTGCTATTGGTTCAGGCCTTTCGCCAGGTTTCTTCAAATTTGAAATTTCTGATCCGACCTTTTGGGCTTTTTTAGTATACTACAGACAATCCACAGTTCCCAATCATGCCCGTAGCCAGGGGGGTTTGGGGGTTCGGAAGAACCCCCCACAAGGCCCAAAGGTCCACTTTTTGGTCCACTTTTTATGTAAAGGTCCACTTTTGGTCCACATTTTATGTAAAGGTCCACTTTTTGGTCCACATTTTATGTAAAGGTCCAAGATTTTTCTTGAAAAGATGAACTGGAATCGTAGAAAAACTGCTCCCTTTGACTTTTTCTTGGAAATCCTCTCAAAAATGCATGAAATGCCATTTTAGAAGGTTCATTTTTCAAAATTTTCCAGGGGAGCATGCCCCCGGACCCCCCTAGGAACCTCGCGCCTTCGGCGCTCGAGGTCCCCTCAAGCTGTGGGAAGAACCCCCCCCCCCATTCAAAATCCTGGCTACGGGCATGCCAATCATTGGTTTTTAATGAATGTGCTTAATTGGGCATGGCATAAAGTAAATATACGTTTTGTTCTAGCAAATTCTATTTGTATTTTTTAAAAATCTTTCTATGACAAACCATCTTTTTTCTACGTCCATGGACAAACGTACCACGCTCTGCCATAGGAGCATCGGGGTTACTAGTACTTGACAGAAGCGCCACCTAGCAAGATGTTGCAGAAGTGCAGGCTACAGCAACCATGACGAAGCCCGCCCGAAATAGCAAAAGGTTGCATCACAACCACGCAAAACATAACGCTTATAATAAGCTTGAATTCCCGCTGTTGCGGTGAGATAGGCGACACAATAGGTCACGAAGATGAGCCAGGCAAGAGGGAGAGGCGGAGGGAAAGGATCGGACCGAGGAGTAAGTAAATTCACCACGCTACAAATATATCGGAGACTAAACGGAGCTAAACTAAAGAAGCGCCCCTCCCCCTTTCGGCCGTAGGCAAAAATTATACGTTTGCAGTGTAATACTGTGCGATGCCAACTGGAAGTTTGAGCATGTGCGTGCAGTACACCATGCTGAAAAAATGCTTTATTCATTTATTGTCAAGTAAGGAACAGGTGCCGTGCCTTACAGTTACAAGATCATTGACTTCCGGGTAGAACTATTGCCCCCACCCCTTTACCAATACTGATAAAGGCAAAAAACAATACAAGTCGTTCTTTTCTGCCTTTATCTTTGTGTGTGTGTGTGTGTGTGTGTGAACAGAGAAGAAGACGAGGGCAGAGAGGACAAGGGGCAGAGGCAAGTAGGACCATTCATGTTGCCAACAGGTTCCAGTCATACCTCCTTCATGTCACCATATGTCAATGTCACTATCATTCATGATGATCTTACAAAAAATATATATTCTGATGTAGATTCTAGATTTTTTACTGTTGAACTCTTGTTGTGATGTAACCATCATATTTCTGGCTGCTCAGGCTGGCCACAATGTCAAGCTGTCCAAATCACTGTCCTACCTGTTGAGACATGGAGCTGCCAAGATGGGCTTCGAGCTAGACCCAGGTCAGATACAGGTTCTTCTTCAGCAAGAGTGTTGTTTGTTTGTTTCGCATAACTGGTAAACCGCCTTCAGGCGTAACACACCAGTTTTGTACATGTGCGCACATGTACAAGCTGCGTAAGACCGGACTGTAAGGTTTTGAACCACTCACACCGGGAAGGTCCCCTACTCTTTTCGATAAGTGCGGTGGGTTCTTTAACGTGCATGGGGTGTGGCTCTCCCAAACACGGGACCTCCATTTAACGTCCTATCCGAGGGACGTCCCTAACCGAAGCTAGGTACTCATTTTCACCTGAGTGAAGTGAGGAAAGTCGTGTAAAGTGCCTTTCCCAAGGGCACAAGATCGGTGACATGGGTAGGGTTCGAACCCGCGACCTCTGGGGTGTGAGCCGAACGCGCTACCGACTGCGCCACACGACCCCACTCTTTATGAATCTTTGTACAGTTTTTTTTCAGGAATTGATCAAATTCTTATGTCTTTTTTTACCTTTTCCAGGTGGCTTCCTGTATGTAGATGAGATTTTGAGACACCCGCAGTTCAAGCGTTACACTGTGGACGACGTGCATCAGGTGGTCAAGGACAACGACAAGAAACGGTTTGCTCTGCAGGAGGAGGAGGAGACGGGGAGGCTGCAGATAAGAGCCAATCAGGGACACACACTGGAGGTACAGATGTTTTATGTAACAGCTGCTGAACTGGTAAAGATGGTCTTGTGGTAAAGATCATAGAGTGTTGAT